GTCTTCCTTATACTGTGAAGATATTTTTTAGGTATGATGAAAAATTTAAACCAACAGACTTTGAAAACAACAAATTAGCTTCCAAAATGTGGGTGAGCCTCATCCAGGCAGTTCAAGAAAAGAATGAGATTTCCTGGAGAAGGAGGAACTTTCTTTAAGACCATAATAACATAGAAAAGCAGTCCGCACTCCTGGCCCTGCCTTCATGTGGGCTAGGGGTGGGGCAGGATGGGCCTCTGCCTGCTATCTTAGGCCGGGTTGGGAGCCACAAGGCTCCACCTCCACATGGTTGGGCCTGGTTTCAGTCCAGTCAAAGATAGGAGGCCCTACATGGCCTGGGTCCTGGGTGGGGTGCCCCTAAGCCTCAGGTCCCTAGGGGCCAGGGGCTGGGGCTTCGGCCAAGGTCGGGTTTCCCCTCTGGACTGACCCCCCCACTTCATTCAGATCAGTGCAAGTCATCAATAACTCAGGCACCCCCCCCACACACACACACACACTGTCTTGTTACAATGTGTGGCAGTGGGATGAAAATGGATTAATCAGAGTCCTAGTCCAGAACAATGAGAAACCTAGAGGGACTGCACCAAGAAAGTGCAGCCCAGCTCCAAGGGCAGTCTCATTTTTATTTAGAATCAGACAGAAAATAAAAAGATCAAAGAAGCAAGCAGGCAAACGGGGACTGCACAAGTGTATGGGGGATGCGTAACCAGCTGGCCCCAACCAAGGTTGAGAAGTAAGGAGAAAGTCAAGAAAAGCCTCGGTGTTTATGCTACTCTAGCCATAATACCTATTGCTGTATCTGTACATGCTGATTTCAGCATGTATAGATCCTCATACCAGGACTTTTGCCCTTAGAGGTTCCTTATCAACTTTCCCTGTTTCTGCACACTGAGATGCACAGAATAGTCAAAGCAAAGAATAATCAAGGCAAAGACACAGAATAGTTGAGGCACACAATAATACAAGCTCCCACAGCAGACCTCCAGATGCTGAGAAGGACAAACTTAAGCCTCGGATACAGTTGTCATCTGTACAGACCCAAACAGAGCATGGTCGGAACCACATGAGATAGGACCGTGGGATGAGCTGGTATAGTGACCTCTCTCAAGAGCTCCATCTACAATATCTTCTGGGGCTGGGGAACCAAAACCCTGGTCCAGAGATGTGCAACGTGAATGAGGCTTCTTTCTCTTCTAACTGGGGGAGGAAAACATCAGAGTGTGACTGGGGACCCAGGGCAGGACTGGAAACCATGAAAGGAAAAGAGAGGAGCTGGACCGACCATGTGCTAGAGTCTTTCCCCACCGGGGAGCTTCCCCACCAACACTGGCTGGGAGTTGGGTTCCCAACACCAAAATTATGACTCTGAAGCAGCATCATGTGCTAGTCATTGGAAAGGATGGGACAATCAGTGTGAATGAGGGGGCTTGGAACCCAGAGATCATATCAGTGTGGAGAAAATGGGGCAGTGTCCTGTACCATAGGAAGTTCCAAAAACAAGAAGTCTAGAAAATCATTCCATACACATGCCCTGCCCTACAAGAGGTTTCTGAAGTGCTCTGCCTTGCTACCTGCCTCCCAGTTGCTCCAGGTACACTGCAGTCCAGGAGCACAGGTCCTTGCCCGGGAAAAGGACAAGCTTCCAGGAAAAGGACAAAGCTTGTGGGCCAACCATCATTCTAGGGCACCCAGCAGGGAGGAGTAGGAGTGATCCGAGTGGGAGTGGGGGAGGGAGATGCAGGGGAGTGGGATGGTGGTTGGGTAGAATATTGGCCGGAGGGCAACATCTCAGGGGCACAATAACTATACAATGGTGATAGACTATGTAGGAAAAAAAAGAAAAAGAAAAAGAAACCTCGCCAGCATTCCAGCTGCTGCCCTGTGGAATTTGGACTCAAGTGAGCAGCCATCAGTTCTTCCCTCAATTTCCAGCTTGTCTGCCAGCCCCACAGCTTCCAGATTTGCCAGCAACCACAATCACGTGAGCTAATTCCTTAAAATAAACCTCTCCTCTCTCTGCGAACAAGTTCTAGAAGGAGAGAACGAAGGGAAGAGAGAAATTGATTTATTTTAAAGAATAAAATAAGGACCTCCCTGTTGGCGCAGTGCTTGAAAGCAGCGCTGTGAAGCTGTCCGCAGCCTCTGCAGTGCGGGTTCGATTCCCGGCTGGCCGAGGAGATACCCACATGGCGCAGCAGACCTCTCCTGTCTCACCCGCTGCTCCCCTCAGCAGTGCTTTTGGTCTGTCTGCCTGTTCTGCGCCCCACTCTGTCTCTGGTGAATCCTCTCACCCTCCCGTGCCTTTGGCCTGTACTCCAGATCTTGTATAAATAAATCAATCTTAAAAAAAAAAGAATAAAATAACATGTATGTGCATGTGTGCATATATATATATACATGTACAGATGTATAGATGTTGTGGTGTTGCTTTCATACATCAATGCCCACACACCAGCATTCAGATCAAGAAACAACATCACTAGTCACAGAAGCACACTTCTTGCCGTCTCCCCTCCCCCCATGGATAACCATAGATACATTTATCTCCATTTTACCTTCCAGAACTCTGACTAAAACAGTGATTAGCTTACAATTTGTTTCCATTGGCTTTGTGTCTTTGTCACTTTTCCTAGCAGTCTTCTTTTCAGTTCAGATTTTTAAAGATTTTACTGTTTGCTGTGAAGCTAGACCTCCATCCTCTTGCATGCAACCTCCTTTTCTCTTATCTTTTCTAGTACCAATTATTACCTGATCAAACAGCCATCAAAAGACTTCCCAATCCCAACTCTGCCTTTCCTGCTTCTCTTGACTCTAACATCCATTCAACCAGCATTTAATGAAGACTAGAGAGTAATAGTTATGTGTTTGGGGAGTAATTTGTGGAAAACATCACAAGTCTGACCTCATCCTCACCTCCACCCCCATGCTGCTCAGCTAGTAAGTGAGGTAGGCAGGTAAACAAAGAGTTTGCAGGAAGTGAGGTAAGTGCTACAGTAGGGCATGGGCCTCTTAGATCTTGGGGAGACAGGGTTGGGAGAGGTAAAGTAGGAGGCTAGTCCTGTCACTGGGATGGATAAAACCACATTATTTCAATCTCAGGGTTTGTGTCTTCCTTTTCCAAAGAAGAATGTGCCATGCAAGAGCAGTTAGGGACCATGAGACCAAAGCAAAAGTCTGGAACCAGAAGGAAGTTCTGGGAGCAACAGGGACAAAATAGAAAAGAAAAAAAAAGAAGATTCAATTTGTAGGTTAGCACTGTGTTAGGTACTGAGTTAGACACTGGAATCTCAAAATGGATCAAATCCTTAACTTCAAGGAACTCATAGTTTAACACAAGATGAACAGCTCTCACCAGAATATTCTTTCCCAGGTAGATACCCTTACAGCTCACTCCCTCAAGTCTTTGTTCAGCTGTCACCTCATCTATAGGCTGACCTCACCCACTGATATAGAGTATCACACCTACCAACACCCTTCTTTGTCCTCTCACTCCATTTTTTAAAAACTCTTTATTCAAGTATAATATACATGCAGGGAAATTTCATGTATTATAAGTGTGCAGCCCTCTACATTTTTACAAACTGACACATAGACAACACCAGCATCCAGGCGAACAAACAACATTACCAGGCCCAGAAACACCTCTATTTAGCCCAGTCTCCTCCCATACCCCTAATTTCTAACAGCATAGTTTTGCCTGCTTTTATACTTTACAGAAATGCATTCATACGTAATACACTTATGATTTACATCTTTCACTCAATATCAAGTTTGTGTGAGTCATTCCTGTCGCTGTGTGTAGTTTTAGTCCATTCTCATTGTCATATAGTGTTCCATTTTGTGAAAGTGACACAATTTATTTATCCATTTAGCCATAATGGGCAGTGGGTAGTTTCCAGTTTTGAGTTATTAGACAGGAGGCTGGCCATCCACTTCTTTGTGGAGAGAACCGGCCTGTTCGAGCCTCCCAAGTAACTCCCCATGCTTTGGGAAAGAGGCAGGAAAGGATAACCAAACTAACCATCAACCTCTATGTGGAGGGGTGGTCCGTATACTGTCCAATGCCGGTGAAGTGCCACATGAGTTCAGGGCTGCTTTAATGTGCTAGCTTGAGAAATTGTGCGAAGCACTCTGTGGCAAACAAGAGAAAGGAATGCTTGCTGCAGTCTGCTGGCCTCTGCTAGGGCCAGTTTGGCTGACTGCTGACCTGGGGGTAGGGAGTGGGTGGGAGTTTCAGGTTACACCTGGGTTGTAACTCAACATAAGTTCTTTCCACATTGGGGCTCTTATGAATAATACTGCTATAATCATTTGTGTTGAGTTTTTGTGTGAACCTAAATCATAGAGTAACTGTTTAATTTTTCCAGGAACCACCAAACTGTGTTCCACAGCAGCTGCCCATTTTACATTCCTACCAGCAATATGTGAGGAAGCCAGCTTCTCCATATCCTTGCCAAGTACTTATTGCTTTAGTTCCAGAATCATCCTTTTCGCCTCATCAACACTACTCAAGTCACATTAGCATTGCAGCAGGTCTAGAAACAAACTTATTTTTTCTATGTGACATTCATTTGTAGTTAAGAATTTCTAAATTTCCAATTTTTCCTGACAGAATATTTAGTATCGCAGCTACGTTGTTGGGGGGCAACGGAGGCTCACTTTATCATCACTCCTTTCCTCCTTGATTCCGGACTAACCACTTCGGGAATAAATCCCCCATCTTAAACAGAAAGCAACCTGAAAGTAGGTATAAAGGTAGTATTTGGATAGTTCTTCATATGCATTTCGCGTTGTTTCATTTTATTCTCTCGTTTCGGGTAGTCATCTGAAGTACAGCAAGTAACCAGACCGTGCGGCCCCTAGTGAGCAGTTTTACCCCAGCACCCTCTGCACCCCGCACCGTTACGCGCGTAGGGACAAAGACTCAGCCCACGCCCCTTCCCCAGCCCCGCCCACACCTCTGTCCAGCCCCGCCCACACTCCTTTCCCCAGCCCCGCCCACACCCCTCCCAGAACCCCTCCCCTCTTCCGACATCCCTACACTGAGGGGCGGGGAAGATTGGTCTTTGAGTGACCACTCGGCGCGCGTTTCCCGGAAGCGACGCTCCGCACTGGCAGATGAAGTCTAATGACGTAGACGTGCTCCAATCCGAATCCTGAGGGCGGGGCTAAATCCTACGGCGTAAGACAGGAGAGCGCCCGCTGGAAGCACGTGACCTGGATTTGGAGCCGGAAGCCACCTCTCTCGTAAGGAGCACCCCCCAGCACCTACGGCTGCGATGGTAAGTGAGGACGCATGCGCGGGACTATGTGTCGGGGGTTCAGCATCCCTGTTCCCCAATTTCTTTGGCCGCCCTGTCTTAGACCTGCATCTCACCCTCATGCCCAATCCGTCCTGGGGTAGAAGGGGAATGGAGCTGAAAGGGTTGCAGCGTAGAAGGCTGAGGAGTGATCTGTGGGCGGGTGTACCCGGTTTTTTGGGGGGGGGTGGAGTCTGCGGGGGCGGGGCTGGCCACTAGGTGAATAGGAGACGGAGCTGGCGGGGAGGGGCCGGTGGGGTAGCGAAGGTGGGAGGTAGAAGGCTTGGGAACCCAGAGAAAGATAAGTGTTGAAGGCCACGTAGAGGGATTAGAGTCTGGAAGGACCCTGGTTGGGGAAAAAGGCGTGGGAGTCCAAACATTTGATGTTGCAAGTGTAGGGTACTGAGAACCATCTTCCCAGCTTGCTTCTCACTCTGCATCTTTATCCACTAGACTTCTGCACTGACGCAGGGGCTGGAGCGAATCCCAGACCAGCTGGGCTACCTGGTGCTGAGTGAAGGCGCAGTGCTAGCGGTGCGTTCTGGGAAAGGGAGGGGGGCCCACGTACTCAAGGCCCGGTGACCCCTTCTAATAGGGCCCAGTTTACCTAATTTGTCTCTATTCTTAGTCTTTACCTGATATCATGCATAGCATACAGTAAACTTTGGGGAATTAAACCTAACTTATGAGGTAAGAGGTTTGCTAACTTTACCAAAGTTACACAATTAACTATAGGTCTTTTGGTAGCTGAGGTTACCCAAGTTATTCTTGGTATTTATGGAAGAGGTTTTGTATTTTGTTCCATAGAACAGTATAGTGTTAGGTCTCTATTATAAGTTTTCCATCTACAGAGACAAGGCATAAGGTTAAAGGTGGGAAGCAATGAACATAGTAAAGAAAACTGAGAGACCAGAAAATGAAGGACTCAGCCTTTCCTTTCTTTTCATGTTTTAACTTTTGTTCTGACAAGGAAACTTTTTTGGAGGTGAAAATTCAGCTTGGCTTAAGGGATAGACGGTTGTAAACAGGCCGAAAAGGAGAGTATTCAGGGCTGAGGGGTGATATTTGCAGGAGTGCCACACCAGCCTGTCTGAATTGGTGGTGGGATTATGTTGACATGATTTAGAAAGGTTTGGGAGGAGACTGGAGACAAATATATGGCAACGAAAGCTCTGACTGTGGAGGACTTTAAAAGCCCAGTTACATATTTGGATTAATGCTGAAGGAAATAGGAGCTTTGGAGATTTTTTGAACAGAAACATGAGCTGATGAAGCAGTTGAGAGGTTGATCTAATAGGTGTGAGAATGGGCCAGAGGAGCAGGATTCAGGAGGCTGCTGCCAAAATCTAGACAGGGCTGGAGGCAGTGAAAAGGAGCAAGGAGAGAAATGATTTTAAAGGAAGAATCAATATGTCTTGGTAATGACTGGAGATTGAAAATAGAGATATTCTTCATCAAGACTTTGAACTCAAGCCTAGATTGATGGTGCCTCAGCAGGAAATTAAGAACTTGAATAGGGAGAGAGATAAGGGGAAATGTGATGTGACTTTAGACAATGAGTTCGATATAGAATAGCAGTTGCTAGGAGCTGTTCTAAGGATCCCACCAGTGTTATCTAAACTGTCCGTAAGATACTGTTGTCACTAATTTACGAATGAGAAAACTGAGGTACAGAATATCTTAGGAAAAAGGGCGCTGAACCCAGTGGGAGGCCCATACTGAGGAGGCAGGAAGAGGAAATTGAGATAGTCACAGAAAAGAGGAAGGCCCAGGCAAAGTGACATTATTACCCAAGGACCATGTAATAGAGGGGCTAAAAGGAAAGCGATGTTTGTTTCAGATTCTGCAAGACAAGTGGGAAAACTGAGAAAAAGATGCAACCCTGAACAAGTCAGTGGTGGGTGGGCATTGATGTGTGAGAATGTGTTTTCATCAGATAGGTGGAAGATGGGGAGAAAGCAACCTGCAAAGGATTAGGGGGAAAAGGTTGGTAAAGAAATGGATGAACCATTGCATATGGGGGAAGGCTAGTGTTACAAGGACAAGAAACCTGATGGTGAGTTTCAGGTTTTCCCAAAACAGGGGTGACCTGGACATACTGGAAAGTAGAGAGGGGGAGATTACAAATGCTAGATCCAATGACTGTTCCTGGAATTTTTCCCCAATTCTGTGCCCTTATTTCGACCATTTTCCTTTCCCCGTCTGCATGCAGTCATCTGGTGATCTAGAGAATGACGAGCAGGCGGCCAGCGCCATCTCTGAGCTGGTCAGCACGGCCTGTGGTTTCCGTCTGCACCACGGCATGAACATACCCTTCAAGCGTCTATCTGGTGAGCCCCAGCCCTTGCCTCTATGGTGGTGACAGGAGGGGTGCTTCCAGAGGCATCCCTTAGGGAAGAAACACTTGTGTCCTACCAGCCTCCCATCTCCTGGGGTCCCCGGTTCTGGCCACTATCTTCCCTTTGGGATTCACTCCTGCATCAGAATTAATGAGAAAGCAAGAGAAGGGGATTTTACAGAGGACCCCGCACTCCAATCTTCAAATCTCTGAGCCTTGAACTATAAAATTTCTTTGGTTATTGATCCCAGCCAGCTTGTGTGACACCCGCTAACTTTTTGCTCCCTTCCCTCTCCTGGGGTGGGGGAAGGTGTGTCTCCCCCACAGTGGTCTTTGGAGAACACACATTGCTGGTGACCGTGTCAGGACAGAGGGTGTTTGTGGTGAAGAGGCAGAACCGAGGCCGGGAGCCAATTGACGTCTGAGCCTGCCAGAGGGTCAGGGCAGAAGTGGAGCCAGGTCCGCAAGCTTTTGAGGAGGAAGACACATGCCTCCTCCACCTTTCTTGGCTTGCTGCTCCAACTAAGGCTTTTGCTCACCCACTTCTCCACCCCATTTCCCTGCCAGGAAGAGGCCTGGGACTCTCTGCTATGTTAAGGAGAATGAGTTCAAGAAAACCTTTCTCTTCTCTCCCTCCCTCCTAATAAACATGAATCTTATGTTCCCAAGCCCAGGGATGTGTCTAATTTGGAAGGTGGGAGAGTGACACCCCATGTCTGTGTTCACCCTCTAGAAAGTTGTGTACTTGGGCCCAGAGGGGCAGGGCAAGGCCACTCTGGGCATATAAAACTGAGACTCAAAAAAAAGTGTGTCAAGGGAGCTAGTTGTGGGATTCTGAAACTTCTGGGTCTCCGCTCCTGCCAACAGCACACAGACAACTGTCATTCTTCTCCCTCCTGAACAGGCATTTAATCGTCTTATTTCAGTTGGAAGCAGTTGATGGAGAATAAGTTACAAGAACAGACAGACACACACACACACAAAAAAAAAAAATCCACACAACTTAAAGTGCTTCAGGCTGCAAACGTAAACATGAGGGGCAGGAGGAGGCCACCTAGCTATCTCCCCTGACCCCTGAGACAGGAGGATCATTGTCGGGGTCCCTTTACCAGCACCACCCTCTAATCTCAGCCCTGCGGGTGGGTGGGAGGGAGGGAATGTCAGAGGCTGGAAAGGCAACTTAATAGGAATGAGGAAAACACTTTGTAAACAGAACCAGGGTAAAAGGCGGGGGGCAAGATAGCTCTTAGAGCCCTTGCCCTGGCCGAGGGGTGGGGCCAGCCCCCCCAGGACATTGGGGAAATACTGTTGGCTTAGTGCTGTAGCCATACCCGCCCATTTCACAGCTTCTTCCCTTGTCCCTCATCAGCAGACACGGACAGGCGGCCCTATTGGACCTCCTCACCCATGGTGGGAGGCATCTAGGGGAGGCACAGCCTGGAGGGAGGACCCCCCTGGGGGGTTTTCAATTTCTGGAAGTGCAAGAGGGAGGCGCTCCAGCACGGGGCTACTTGACGGGCTCCACCACCAGGACCTTGCACTCGCGCTTGGCAATCTTGTCCAGAGACAGCACAGCCTTGTCCGGAGGCAGGTAGAGGGGGCGCCCAACAGGAGAGGCCACAGGGGGCGTGATGGCCCTGCGCTCCATCACACTGCCTGACCTGGAAAGGCAGAGGCTGTGGGCTCCAGTCCTACCCCAGAGTCCCCTCCAGCTCCCTCTCCAGTTCTGGCATCTATGAGGTCCACGGGCATCCCTCCAGAGGCTCCCTACCTCATGAGGTGGCTGCGGGAGGGCTGTTGGTGGGAGAAGGACTGAGAGCGGCCCAGGCTAGCCTGGTGCCTCTCCACCAAGTCCCGGACAGCAGGGCTGCTAGGGCTGCTCTTTCGAGAGAGGGGCCGGGCCTCAGGTGGAGGGTGGGACACGCTGGCGGTGAACTGCAGTTTCAGTTTCATGTGCTGGCTCAGCTGAGGTGGGAGACACAGATTAGCACTCCAGCTCGGTTTCCAGACTTCAGGCCTCCTTTCACAAAATCCTTCCCACTTGACGGGCCATGTCAGATCTAAAGCCTACCTTCCCTCAGCTCAGCATTTTAATAGAAGTTGCAGCCCTGTGCCGCCCACCACACAGCCCAGCCCTCCTACCACCTCTCTCCCCAGCCCACCTCGAAAAGCCCTGTCCTTAGAGCCTGGAAGGCCACACTGAAGGTGAGTGCGCTGCCCTTCCGGGAGAAGCCGAGGTTGTTGAGGGGCGTGTGGCAGACAACAGAGTCCAGGGCTGCCTGCATGGCCCGGCGTTCCTCCTCACACAGCTGCTTTCCTGGGGGTGGGGGTGGGCAGAAACAGCGACCAGTAAACATCACTGCTGTGTTCCTCAGTTCACAGAGGGCTTTCAGGAACAATCTCATCTGATCCTCAGAGCCACTCTGGAGTAAATTGAGTATGTTATCTTTTGCTGAATTTCATAAATAACAGCTAATGTGTACTGTGGCTGAAGCTTATTCTAACCACTTCACATCTATTAACTCATTAAGTGGCCAGAACAATCCCATGAGGATTTCAGCGCTAAGAAACCTGAGGCTCAGAGAGCTTAAGTCATTTCCAAGGTCACACAGCTACTAAATAGGAAAAGTAATAAAGTCAAACATGCCAGGGAGCCTATTCTCTAGGGCTGGTGTTCTCAAAATTGCCCACTGCCTCTCTAAGTCTTCCCCTGTGATGCTGCAGAACTACCCAGGGACAGCGCCTGCAGTCACCCATTTCTCTAATGTCATCCATTCCTGTCCCCTTCAGGACAAGGGCCCAAGGGTAGCTGCCAACTTACCAGCCTGTGCGTGTTCCGGGGTCCACACAAGCCTCACAGCGAGGAAGTCTTGGAGATTGTTGAGCAGCGTGTAGGTGACAGTGAAACGCTCATAGGTCCGAACAGGGGATTCGCAAGAAGCAGTCATCACAAAGCAGGGGCGATCCAGGCGGATGCTGGGCAGGCTAGTAGTGAGAGAGAGGGAAGCGGGATATGTGTCTCTCGCAACAAAGATGAGTATCGTGGTGTCCAGTGGGGATCCACACACTTACCGGTAATGGGTGTAGATGCTCTGGGTGAAGGGCAATTTCGGGGTGGACCACTGAACCACAGCAATCAGGGGTACTTCTAGGCCCTGCGGGAGGGACAAAGGGAAGCATGTATGAGAGGAATCCTCTAGCTCATCTCTAGTCAACCCCCTGACCTTTCTCTCCCACTTTTCTTATCCTTTTTCTTAGAATATAACTACCCCTTATACTCACCTCCTTAGCCCCTGGAGGGGGCTGCTCACCCCCTCTCAGCTGAAACAGGAAGTTGTGTTCCTCCAGGGCACTGAGCGGGCAGGGGAAGCAGCCAGAGGTACTGGGGAGCCGGCAGAAGGACCCCATGGAGACTTCCCCAGATTGGTGACTAGTTCAGAAGAAGGGGGACAGAGCTTAATCTTGCCCTGCCCGGCCCCCATCCCCACCACTTGCACCCCTGCCCCTCCCCAGGACCTCACCAGACATTGTCCACCAGCAGCACAGAGCCATCGGGCATGACAGGTAGATAACTGGCATTGAAGTTTGGGAGAATGCGGATATCCCAGATGGAAATTTCCTCCTGGGAGGAGCTGTTCAGCACTGTTGGAGGTAATCAGCTCAGATTATCTGGATGCTTCAGTCCCCAACTTTAACCCACAAAACACCTCTCCTCCCCAGCCTGCCTAATAAACTGCCACTCAGTCAGTGCCCTTGCTGCTACCCCAGGCCTGAGCTGATGCACTGGCTCACCCTTGAGAACGGTCAAGTGTTTTCCAGCCACAGTGAACTGGCGGCATTTCAGAACCGGAGGGGGCAGCAGAGTCAGCAGGGTGCTCACTGCAGGAGAGGATGGCAGAGGCAAGAAATGAAGGGCTGGGTGCAGGCCTCACCTCTAACCCAGTTCTAATCTTCCTCTTCTCCCCCAAATCGACACGTGCCAGTACCATCCCTCATTCTGTCCCCCACATTCCACAACCCAACATCTCCGTGCATTCTCCTCCCCACCTTGAGCCTTGAAAGCACTCTGCTCCCCACGGAAGGTCTCCCCAGGTGATCGGGTCTGCAGCAAACGAAGGTAGCCTTGATCTCTGACTTCTGGTGCCTCAACCTCCCGCTTCCAGACCGTCACTACAATCTGAGCACAGGGGACACAGGAGTACATTCAAGAGTTGGCCAGAGCTAGCCAAGTCTTAGAAAGGGAGTATGAATTAGGGTGACAGCTCCCTGGCCGATCTTACCTTGGCTTTAGGTGTCCCTGGGGGAAGTCTATCCAGTGAAACGGTGAGTGGGAAGATGACCTCATCTGTGGACACAATTGGTTCCTCCACAGGCAGCTAGGGTTGTGAAAGGGATGAAGAGGTCAGGAGAAAGGCAAAAAGACGCCCGTGGCATTCTCTTTAAGACCTGCAGGGCATGATTCTCTTGTTCTGTCCTGAGCCCTCACCTGCCTCCTGCTTCAGGCCCCCATGACCAACCCCCTCACGTCTTTGGAGCCCGGCAACCCCCCGTCCCCTCCCCCCTGTGTCATGTCACCCCAGGTTCCTCACCGTGGTCGCTCCCCCTGAGGTAGCAGGGCCGGGGCCGTGAGTAAGGAGAGGGCTGCAGCCTCGGAACAAACTCCCACCACCAGGATCCCCGCCCCCTGGGGGTTCGGGATCCTGGTCGCTGGAGCCACCGCCCCCAGGAGCCCCGCCTCCGGCGCTGACCGAGGCCAGAGCAGCCAGGGCGGTTGCCAGTTCTGTCCAGGCCCCTCGGGAACCCAAGCCAGAGCCGCCCCCGCCCCCGGACCCCGCGCCGCCCCTGCAGCGCAGCACCAACAGGAAGCGGACAGTCTCCCCCAGATAGAGATGGTTGCGCCGGGGCAGCGCCCGGTACCGGCCCGGGTCCCCTGCGAGTTCCGCGCGCGGCGGCAGCGGCACGGCCGGGAAGTACATCGAGTAGTCGCACTGGGACTCCATGGGGCGGCAAGGACGGTGCGGGCCGGGGGCAGGGCGGGCCGGCGAGGGCGAGGGCGCCCGCTGGCCGGGATCCGGGGAGCCCCAACCCCCGACGGTGCTACGCGCGTCCGGGCCGGCCCCAGAGACCAACCGGGTCGGGGAACCGGGGCAACGAACCCGGAACCGAGACCCCGCGGGCCGGAACCCGGGTGCGGGCCGAATGACTGGCGAGAAGCCGGAAGCGGAAGGGAAGGGGCGTGGCCTCTGAGGCCCCGGAATTTGTGGGTGACCGGACCGCGGAGGAGAGGGGCGGGGTCCGCTCTGCAGCAAGAAGGATTGAGGAGAGACTGCGAAAGGCTTGGAGGAGAACTGTTAAAAGAACTTCGTTCCACTCTGCTTCTTCCTGGAAGATGCCCCACCCCCACCCTGTCCGCCCCACAAAAAGCAAGTGGACGTTTCGAAGTATTTATTTATTCATTCATTCAACAAACATTTCATAGTGAAATGAGCATAGCCCAGTAATAAATATTTCATAGAGGAACGGTCGCTTCATTCCAGTCCTCCGCACCCCAGATTTTCACTGGCTTACCCCAGGGTTTGCTCCTCTAGGGGGGTTTGAGTGCGCTGCCCTGAACCTGGACTAGGGAATGGGCAAAATGGGTGGGGGACGGAAGAATTGGGACTTCTAGGAGCTGAAGGATTTGGGACTCCTTAGCTCAGGTTGGAGAATTTGCGCCCACGGCCATGCAAAGTCCATTTGTCATCTAAGGTGCAGGCGTTCTCTCTGAGGGAAGCAGAAAGGCATCTGACTTCCCCCTGCTTATCACATGTACCCTTCTAGTCTAACTGCTCTTCAGCCTAAGACTTAGTCTGATGTCTATGGAGAGAGTAGTCTTACAGTCTTGAGTGGCACAGACACTGTTGGGGGGAACTGCTTGGCATCTAGCTTGTCCTTGTACTGTAATTCAGGGGTAGCCAGGCGTTCACACTCCTCCTGGTCTTGGAGGCTCAGTCCACTTCGAAGTACATAGCCCAAAACCTTCCCTGACCCAAACTGGAAAGGGCGGAACCGTCGGTCAGAGATGTATTCAGGGTCTAACGCCTCACCTCCCACCAGACAATGTTTAGCCAGGGCCTCCCTTCGAGCTCGGAGTTCCGCCACAGCGCTCTCTAGTCGGCTCTGGCCATATCGCTTTATCCGTGCCCACAGGCTGTGGTTGAAATGAACATAGAGAGCCCAGTCCAGGTTGTTCCAGGCCCGGGCTCGAGCCGTCAACTGCCTGTCCTCAGTAGCCAGTCCACCATCCCTGACAGTGCTGAGGCCCTGCTCGCTTCCAGCCTGGGCATTGTGCATGAAGCCCACCACATCATCTAGACCCCAGCACAGGGCATCTGCCAGCAGAACCAATGATTCATCAAAATACTCAGCCACCAAGACCAGGTCAAAGACAGAGTCCAGCCAGGCTAGACTCCACTGGATGAAGGAGGAGGACCCCAAACCCAAAGAGGCAGGGCTGGACATCGGGCTGTGACCATCAGCAACAGTGGGAGCAGGATGGAAGAGAGTATTGGGATGTGGGGTATGAACTTGGGAGCCAGGGCCAGGAGACAAGACATGCAGCTGTGGGGAGTTGGGGTCTTTTGGGAGATGAGGATTCCCTCTCGTTGTCCTCATCTCTGGGGGGAAGGGAAGGCCAAAGTCAAACCATAGCAAGTTGCGCGCGTAGTGGTCTCCACGGGCCCCAGGCCGATAGAAGGCTCGAGGATTGGCCAGGAAGGCGGCCAAGGATGGTGCCTTGCGAAAGGCTGACGAGGTGGATTTATAATAGGAGAAGGCAGAGTGAGCCAGGGCTGCTGGGTCTCGGACGATGGAAAAGAAGAAGCTGTCAGAAGGCATGACCCGAAGTACCTGCAGAGGTGAGAAAACAGACATAGGGAGAAAGAACTGGGCCAGGGAGAAACTAAGAGCAAGGCAAATGCTTGCTGATACCCCAGCCTCCTCACTCCCATCAGCTCTGCTGGGAACCCTCCACTTCCTTTTCTAGATGTATAGTTATTGGGCAAGTAACTTGCACCTTTCAATTTGCTTCTCTGCAAAATGGGGAGAATCACTCTTTCCCAGGTGATTATGGAGGTTACACAAGATGAAGAATATGAAGGAAACGTGCATGTTTCAGTGAAGACAGAGAACAGCGCAGAGAAAAGTCTGTGGCATCAGGCAGGCTTGGAATCAATTTCCTCAGGCCTTTCTGACTGCCTTGGTCAGTAAAACCTCTAGCAACTAAACTTTGGGTTCACGTCAACTAAAGCTTACTAAGTGCCTATCCTGGGACTTTTAGTCACAGCTTCAAGAAAGGAACTGGCCTCAGGACTCCTCAGGGGAGTCACTGGCAGCCAAGAGGGAGGAGAGGGGACATTATAGGTGTCAGGTGGGCAGGCTAAGCCCGGGATGGCTGAAGGCACTTTGGGGACTCCCAAGCATCTTGGAAAGCAAAAGGCACCTCTGAACTGGACCCTGGGAGCCCTGGCTACTTGGTAGGGTGCTATCCTACAGCCTGGGGCCTGTGATCCCTCTTCTCAGCAAAAGGGAAGGTGGGATTTGGGCTCTGCCACATCTTAATGCGGTCCTGTAGGCAGATCCAGTCCAAACCCAGCTTCTGGGCACCCTGAGTAGTTTCTGCCTCTGAATCATGACTTCTGTGATTAAATCTAACTCCCCAACATGATGACTTCAGATCTGTTCTGCTAAGATGTGCATGCCTGCACGGTAGAACCTGTGACTTGCATGTTTCAGTGAAGGCAGAGACTAGTGCAGAGAAAAGTCTGTGGCATCAGGTGGGCTTGGAATCAAAGTCAAATCCATTTTTCCAGTTGTGTAACTTTGAGCAGGTTATGGACTTCTCAGTGTTCCTCCATCTACAGCTCCAGGGTCACACTTACCTTGAAGAAGGTAGATGTGTAAGGAACATGGTGGGTAGTCAGTCAGTGAATGATGGTGACAACGAGGGTCATTATCCGAACCTCTGGAGAAACATGCCTCACAGAGTGTTGTCACTGCCTCACTCCCAGCTGTGCCCCACTGCCATTAGACCACACCGAGTTCCTAGGCAGCCTTCTTCGGCTCCAGCATCAAAAGGGGTGCCTTGGCCATCCCCACTGAAGTACTACCACCCACACACACACTACCCCACCACCACCCTATCTTTGCTGTTTTACTCCCCCTAAGAGAGCTTGTTCTTAACTATAAAGCCATGTTCCCCCTTTCCTTTAAAAGCCAGTTCTCCAGAAAGCCCCATCCCCACATGTTCCAAATACACACACACACACACACACACACACGTAGGCGCACCTGCCATGAAAGACACTTTAACTTTGGAGCAGATGGAGTTCAAAGCCTAGCTCTCTTGCTTTCAGTTAGTAGAGGCCACTTAGCCTCTCTGAGACTTGGTCTCCTCATCTGTGTAATGGAAACACTGTTGGTGTAATGTCTCCCTGGCAAGGTGATGCTAAGATTGGTACCAACAATCAGTAAGTATTCAATAGAAGTCCCTTCTTCCCCATATACTTTTATTTGTACATTGATTTTCTCCCTCCAAGAGCTCTCGGGCGCCTGTGTGTGTGTGTGCAGATGAGTGTGTGTGTGCACTCCTCTCCCCTCTAGAACTGAGGCCAGGGTATTCGTCAGGACTGAGCTAGACTTTGTCATGGAGCCGATCCTCAAAATCTAGCAGACATGGTGAGAGGAATGAGAGGTCAGAAGGCAGGGGGCCCGGGAGCATCAGTGGAAAAGGTCAAGCAAGGCAAGGGACAACTGGAAACTTTGTGGGGGAGGGACAGGGGACTGACCCAGGTGGGGGAAATTGGTCAAGGAAAGAGCCCAAGTAAGCTCAGATAGGGGAGGGTAGGAATGTGGCTCCCAAAAACTGAGAAAGGGATAGCTGAGGAGAGGAGAACAGGAAATCTCACCTTGGTCCCCATATTTGGGGTGAAGTGATGCTGGGAGTCCCCAGGCCTGATGCCCCCTCCCCTGGTGGTCTTGACCACAGGCCTGAGCCCATCTCTCTCCAGTCCCTTCTGTCCCCTCTACCCTCCTCACCTCTTTCAGGTTGAACCTCATGTGATGACAAAGGATGTGGAAGGGGGGCTGTGTGCCTCTTCCCTGGGGATGATAGCCTTTGACTCGAGAGGCTTGGAAAAACCTTGGGTAGCCAAACTGGTAGCGGGTGGGAAGGGCAAAGCGCAGCCCGTGCTGGTCCCCATAGCGATGAAGCAAGTTCAGCACAGAGCTGCTTCCAGATTTATGCGTCTTCAGGAACACGAGGTGCTGTCGGGGTGAGCAGGACAGAGCAGCTGGTCCTGGGGGTGGGGCCCAAGGTTGAAGGAGCTGCAGCCCAGGCAGCCTGGAGAGAGACAGGAGAGGACATGTCTGGTCCTCACCAGCAGGTGGCTGTATATCTTGTGGTGCAAGGAGAGAGCTTGCGCCTCCTCTGAGTCCCCAAGAGTCACAGCCCGGGATGGAATGGGGACAAGCAAGTAGGGGGACATCAATTGGGTGTTGGAAGAAGATGGTCCTGGGATTGGGGCCCAAGGTTGAAGGAGCTGCAGCCCAGGCAGCCTGGAAAGAGACGGGAGAGGACATGTCTTGTCCTCACCAGCAGGTGGCTGTATATCTTGTGGTGCAAGGAGAGAGCTTGTGCCTCCTCTGAGTTCCCAAGAGTCACAGCCCGGGATGGAATGGGGACAAGCAAGTAGGGGGACATCAATTGGGTGTTGGAAGAAGATGGGAACTCACCTCCTCTGGAAGGGACCCCCCCAGAGCTGGAGAGCAAATCCAATGGTCATGAAGACCCCCAGAGCCACCCCCAGGCTCCGAGGTCCCCAGAGGCGAAAGGTCCTGGTAGGAGACCAAGAGCCCATGTGGCACCAGGAAGGGTGGCTCTGAAAGGGGACAGGGCCAGGAACAGAGGCAGAGACAGCTTGAGATAGCCGTGCAGCTGCTGAAGGCGCCGATTGGAGATCGGGGGGTCATTCCCCAAGCCTGCTCACAGCCCTGGTAGAGTCTGCCCCCTGAGTTAGCAGATTTTTGCCTCTGTCAGCGTCTAGAAGGGAAATGAGAGGGGGAGGAAAGCGGCTAAGGAGAGGGGTAGAGCCTTCTCTCCCGCTGTTGCCGCTGAGACCTAATTCAGGGAGGGAGAGCAGGCTGCAACAGGGTATGCTCCTGGCATACACCCAGTGGTGGCCCCACAACTACTATTCCATTATCAGCCTCCCGTTCCTCCAACCCCCCACCTACAGTTTCTCCTTGAGCCTTGGGGACTTTGAGGGAAGGGGAAAAAGACAAAGACCCAGTGAGAAAGATCGGCCTGATCCACTCCTTTAACAGTGAGGTGAAAATCGCCAAGCCCAGGGCTAACTCCTGTGGCAAATTGGGGTGAAGAGCCCCATTCTGAGGCTGAGAGGAAAAGCCAAAAGGAAGGAATGAGACAAGGCACAAACTGATAAGCCCGGAGAAGTTAGTTAGACCACTTGGTAATGAGAGAGTCAGCGTGTAAGGGGGTGTGTAAGGGGGTGCTGAGGAAGATGTGGCATTTCTTATAGAGCCCAGATCTCCACACACACACACACCCCCACACACAACCTCTTTCCTGCTTTTCATACCTATCAATGCACCTGGAAGAGAGGAGAGGCTGGGGGTGGGTGGAGGGGTGGTCGTTGGGGGAAGAAGAGAGAGAGAGAGAGAGAGAGAGAGAGAGAGAGAGAGAGAGAGAACACGCTTGAAGGAGCAAGCGAGCTATCGAGGGAGGGAGAGAGAGAGACCTAGCTTCAGAGTTCCTTTTCAGGCCCCAGCTTCCTAATCAACTGAGAGTCCGAGACCCACCCCTTTCAGATTACAACCCACGACTCTGGGCTGCAGTTGCTTGACAAGTCCTGACAGCCCCCTTCCAGAACAAGCCTGGAGTGACCCTCCGGCAGAAAAGAACCCACACTTGTTACCCAGACACCCGCCCACTCTGGCATCACCCCCTACCTCCAGCTCCCTCCCCCAACACAGGCCCGAAGATCCAGCCCCTCACCAAAATCCAGGGACCAGATTTCTCATCCATCTCTATCTCCTGTCCATCACCTCCATTCCAGCCTTCCGTCCCCTCCAGTTTAGTGACTGTTCAGTCTATCGCCAGCCCTTTGTTGGCTCCCTCCGGGGTTCTCTCTAGGGACCCCCTAAGTCTCCGCCCATAAATTCTAGGGTCCCTGGCCTCAGCTTTACTTGCCTACTCACTCAGTCACCTGGGGAGCAGCAGGTAAATCCGGGTCTGGCCCTCCCGCCAGCTGCAGCCACCGCCCAGCTCCTAGCTCGGCCCAACTTTCCCCGTAAACTTTCCCAACGCCCAGGCTCCTCCCCTCTCCCTCCCTTTGTCCCGCCAGTCCCTGCAGCTGCTCGGCTTTGATCACATCTCTGGGTCGCTCCCTCCCTGAATCTCTCCCTCCATTAGAGCAGCCTGCCTGCCCTTGGAAGACACTACTTGAACCCACCTTTCACACTTAGGAATCAATTATACCTTTTTCTCTAAGCTTTCTCCAGAACAAAGGATTCATTCAGGGACACAAAGAAAGAAAAAGGGAAGAAGAAAATAACAGAAATAAGTTGAAAGCAGACATTGTCAAGGACCTGACAAGGCAGCCAGAGGCTGACACACAGAGAACAAGGGCCCCCACCTGCAGGCAGGGGTAGTCTTACTAATAATGCCTTATGATCAAAAAGAATTTTGCCAGGGACAAGGAGCTTCCTTACATCATTACTATTCATTCCCCACAATTCTCCCCTCTTTTATAGATGAAGGTGCTCAGACCCAGAGAATGGACAGTTTGCCCAAACTCAATCCCCAGGGACAGCTTCCAAGAGAGGGGAGAGTCAGACAGAAAATCAGCCAGTCACCGAGGCTCTGGAGACTCTGCTAGGAGGGGGGAATGTTGAATGTATAGGAAGTCACACAGATCTGATACATTGGCCATTTATTTGTAGGAAAAAACACTAAAACATGAAGCGAAGAAGCTTGTGAAGGATGTGGATGGCAGAGGTCATGAGTCAGCCTTTTCTTCTTTCTTTTTGATATTTTAGTTTAAGAAATTGATACTGAAAAACTCAATGAAACCCAGGCCCATTGATCCTGACATCCTATTCCCCTCAGTTCACCTAGTTCCCTGCTCAGCTCCCTGTCAACACCCACCCAGCTTTATTCACTTCTGAGACTGGTGCTCCCACCCTTCCCCACTTCCAACTTCCTTCAGACCCCACCCCCCAACTGCAGCTATATTCCTCCCTTGCTGGGACTGACCACCAGCCCAACCTAAGAAACTTAGCTGGAGACCACACCTCCTCCCTAAATAAATACCCACCAGCCCCCACACCCGCCCTCCCCAGTTACCAAATGAAAAAATAAATATTGTAAACACCCACCCCTCCCGATCTGCCAATGGGAATCTCCTGGATCCGGGGCCCCAGCCATTCATCCAAAAAGTCCTTTCTCTACCCTCTCTTCAGCCCCCTTCAACTCCTCCCCAGACCCAGCTGGGGGGGAGGGGAAGGCTAGGAACCCTTGTAATGCTAGGGCACCCCTCCCCTGTTATCGAGGTCCAAGCAGGGCCAGGGCTGAGAGGAAGAGAATGAGAATGGGCTGGGTATGAAAACCAACAGATGCCCCCCCATTTCTGCTCCTGCCCTGGTTGTGGCGGATAATGACACCTCCTCCTTTGCCCCCAGAACTATCCTTTCTAGAAGGTCGAGGAGGCCGGCCTGGTGGTGCAACAGCTGCTGTCCCAGCCTTCCAGTCATCCGCATAGTGCTGTCCCTCTCCAGAGCCGCTGGTGTCCTCATCTGCAGGGAGGGAGACGATCAGAGACAGGAACGGCAGCGGAGGGGTGGGGTGGGGGATGGACAACAAGAAGGAGGGGAGATTGAGATAAAAACAGAGAGGCAAGAGAGATAGATGGAGGCTGGGAGGAAGAGTGAGCGATGGGAAAGCAGGGAGAGAGGTCATAGAGTGGGGGAAGGTGATGAGAGAAGGGAAAAGAGAAAATGAGACAAAACAGAATATATAGAGAGAGATATATATATAGAGAGAGACAGAGACAGAGAGAGACACACAGAGAAGAGAGATGGGGAGAGAAGATAAACAGGACAAGAGAGCAAAAACAGAAGCAACAAGGTGGGTGGGAGAGAAGAAACAAAGAAAGAGACAGACAATGGGGGAGAGGGGAAAAATGAATGCCCAAGTGCCCTTTGCTTCTCTGGCAAACTCTGTCTGGGGGAGCCAGTCCAACATAGCCTCTCCAAGCTGCCCCCTCCCCAGTCTCCCACAGCCTCTGCCAACACTGAAAAGCTTCTCGCTGTTCTGCAAGAATGTTTTGGTGTCTCCCCCACTACACTGTGAACTCACTGCTCATCTGCCCTTCACCTTTGAGCCAAGTGCCCAGCAGATGTGTGCTAAGCAAGCGAGTGAATGAATGAATGGCAGCTGAGTAGAGATGCAAGGAGAAAGGGCTTAGAAGGCAGTGGGCGAGGTTTGGGGCCTAGGAAGGCACAACCGCAGAAACTCGGGAGGAGCGAGGCCTTGAGGAGCTTCCGGTCTCACCCCAGTCTTCCCGTTCCAGGTCTCGTCCCAAGGCCGCAGCCTTCATCCTGGTCGTAGCCGCCCGGAGCTGCAGCCTCCGCCTCCTCGTCTGGAGGTCGGGACCCAGGTCTTCCCCATTCAGCTCGGGGTTGTCTTGCTGCTCAGTTGGGGAGGCCCCGACCACGGGCGACAAGTACCTGCGAACAGAGCAGCCCCAAAGGCTCCCGCCCCGCCCGCCCCGCCCTGGAGCCACACCTTGCCCAGCCGCCCACCGAGGCCGAGGCCGGCCCGGTGCTCACCGGCCCCGCCCGCTTCCGGTCCAGCAGGGCGCCGACTCCTGCGAGACGTCCGCTGCCATGCGCGCGTCCCCGCACACCGTCAAGGGCAGCCTGGCCCAGAAGCCCCGGATCCGGCCCACCCGCTGGCGGAGCTCCCACACCTGGGGTGCAGAGAGAGCAGGGCACAGCTGGAGCACTCACCCCACCAGGCGCGCGCGGGGCGCCTCACTCCTGCTGCCCACACTCACCAGCCCGTGTAGACCTGAGCCCATAGCTGAGGATGTGGGCTGCTCCTCCTCTGGCCCCGAGTTCCAGATCCGGCCTGCCTCTTCCCGTGGGGCTGGGGCTCTGCGGGTGCGGGTCAGCGTGGGTAAGGGGGCACCGCATTCCTGAAACACCTGTGGCACAGGGAAGACACCCATACACATGCAGTCATCCGGTGGTGAAAGCCACAGGGTCCTCATTCCAATCCCCAACCTCCCTTACACTCCGTGCTAATAATACCCTATACTGTTCTTCCTTCTCTCTTCTGAACTTGAGCTAACACCCCACAATGTCCCCCTTCCACCCGCCAGGCTGACACTCCCACCTTCTCAGGGTGCCAGTACCTGGGCTGACACCCTTGCACTGTTTTCCTGCAGATACATCAAACCCTCTGAGATCTTCACCCCAATAGACTGGGCTGCCAGCTCAAAGGAAAAGGGGCCTTGGAGCTTCTCAGCCAGGAGCAGGAGACCATCTGGAAGGGGGAAAAGTAAAGGGGGACAGTTAGGGAGATATTCCCTGAACTAGGAAGTTCCCACTAATCCTGGCCTCACTTTGGAGGGAAGCAGCAAGGTAAAGCATGGGGGAAGCCCATGAGCAGACCACCCAGGCTCCCCCATTTAATTAGCTTAAAATTCCCTCCTGGTCCACCACCATCAGCCCCCACACAGACAGCCCTCCCAGGCTTTTTCTGAATCCTGCTCACCCAGATAGCTCCCCCAGTCAGGATCCAATCCCTGGGCGCTGAGACAGCCATGGGCCACGTTGAGGCAGAAGTCTCGGCAGGGTGGCAATGAGGGAAACCCTTGACAGAAAGGGCAGCCCGTCAGACGCATCACTGCCCGCCTGCAGCCTTCAGACATGGGCATCTGGGGGCAGAGAGCAGGTCTGTGTTATCCACAAACACTGTGGCTGCCCTCAGTCAAGCTTGGTGCTGGTGCTGGGCACAGAGAGAAATCAAATACCCCATCCCACCTGGCCCAGGCTCTATGTAGAAAGCTGGACAAGAACATCTAGGCTTGGTGACCCCAAGTGGCAGCAGGTGAGACCCCAAGACTGCCACAGACTGATAAGGGAGGTTATTAGGAGTCAGTTTGCATATACTGCTTCTTGGGGGATATGAAACTAGAGAGGTGGTGTGGGGTCTGAGAAAACATTCCAGGACAAGAGTGAGCACATCGTGGTTGGGGAGGAGGAGAGAGGATGCAGGAGGTAAGACCAGGAGGTGAGGGAGAATGGGTCTTGCCCACTTGAAGGTCAAGCCAGGAATCTGGCATTCAGTTGCAGGGAAGAGGGAGCCATGGAGGGACCCTGGAGGAAACAAGAGGGGCAGGACTCCAATCTCCAGCTGCTATGGTGATGAGCAGGCCCCCAGAGGCTAACAGAGGATATGAGTCATCAGAGGGCAGGAGGAGGTCAGAGGTGGGAGGAGGTCGTGGATCATGACACATGGAAGACTTCTGGCCCCCCTCCTTCCTGATTAACCCGGGGATGCCAGGGTCTTAAGGCTGATATTGGAAGATCTCAAACCTCTCCTGACAGCTTAGTGCCCGATTCTTCTTCATAGGCTTCTCCTACTCTGACTCTCCCTCCCTGTGCCCTGCCCACATGCACCCCCCTAACCTTAAGCACTTCGCTGACCACATCTCTTCCAGTCTGTAGACCCTGGATAAAGGCCCGGGCAGCCACCAGGGCCCGGGATACCTGGGGAAGAGAAAAGAAGGTGAGGGTTGCTGTGGATTGGTCAAGACTGCACAAGGGAATGAGCAGTGGGTTTATCTTGGGTTAGTCAGTAGTGTCAGGTGATACAGGGAGGCAGCCCAAGAGGTCCAAAGGAATTCTATAGTCTAGAAGGAGCACGGGGAACTGCAATTGAGAAGAGATGGAAGAATTGAGTTTTACAGGCTTGGAAATAGAAAGACTATATCAGAACACTGAACTTGAAGCCAGATGACTTGGGTGTGGGACATAGCTGTAAGGTTGTGACCTTGACCTCTGGGAGGCTCAGTTTTCTCATCTATAAAACAGAAATACTACTACCTACCTCTCAGAGCTATAACAATTAAATGACATTCTATAAATGAAAATTTCTCTGAAATATCAGGTGTCTAATTCATGTTTAGTTGAACCAGAGGAAGTCAAGATATTATGATTAGAGAGGAGTCAGCAGAACAGGTGAGTAGGTCAGGGATTTGTGTGAAACTAAGCACAGAATGGGGGGTGGGAGGGGGAGAAATGACCCAAACTTGGGGGGAGCAATTAAAGGAGACCAAGGAGCATTGAGTCTAGCAGAGATGACTGGGCTTAAGATAGAGGTCAACTGGTCAGAGATGGCTGCCATGCAGGATTCACGGATCATCTGGTCAGGGGTGACAGAGGCACAAAAGGAGGGTTATCAGGTTGGAAGTGAGTGGTGCACAGTTCAGAGGAAACTGAAGCTCAGGCCTTGGGACCCTCACCTGCAGGCGGAGGCGGCGGGGTGAGTCCCCAAAGGGCTTCAGAAGGTCTTCGGCAGAGGACGCTAGGCGCGTGAGGCAGAACAGATATTCAGGGGAGAAGGTGTATTGTGGATGCAGCAGGGGGAACACTCTCTCCAGGAGCTGCCCCCAGAAGTCCACCAAGGCATCATCTAGCCCTTCACCGGACCTCTCATAGTAGTCCCGCAGTCGAGAAAACAGGCCACTGAATGATGGGGTGTACTGAGCATACATGTGGCGGCCATAAGAGCGTTGGAAGAGCAGGGCCAAGGAGTGTTCAGATGATGAGAGCATCTCCCGAAAAACCTCTGTGGCAAATGCAGAGAAAGAGGTGTGTGGCAGCATGAGGCCAGAGAAGGACAGAAAAGTGAAAGGGCAGAGGCGGGAAGAGATGGGCATGGGGGAGACTAGAGAAAAGACAGTGAGTTGGAAACAGAGCAAGTCTCAGAGACCAGACCAGACTCTGAATTGAGGGGTGGGGGGCTGGGCCATAGAGGCAGGGCAGGACCTTGGTGAGAGCCTGGGGTGAGGCTGGGTGGGGGGCAATAAGTCAAGACTGGGCTGGGGTGTCTTAAGAGTGGAGTAGGGAGTGAGGACAGCATACCTACTGGAGAATGAACAGAAAGAGGAAGAATGAGGCCAGATTTGGGGACCCCCAAGTCCTCACCATCAAATTTTCTGTGTCGGGCAGCCAGTGTGTGAACCAAGAAGGAGCCACTCTCCTCCACCAAGCCTCGTAAGGTGGCCTCAGAGTCCCAGGTCAGCCTCTGCTCTATCTCACTGGTACAGCAGGTGTACTGCTGGGGACAGATCCGGAGGTGCTCACCTGAATGGAAGAGATATGGAAGAATGGTGATACGTTATATCATGTAATTTTTTCCTTCTCCCTCCTATCTCTGGGAGTCATCCCTACTCTTTACCTGTCTGGTCTCTTTTCTATTGTCTGACCCCCTCATCCCCACCTGACCCTTTCACCTCTTTATTGTCCCCTCCTCTAACCAAGTCCACTGCTATTAGTCATGTGATCAGTAGTGATGGGCCAAATTAGTGTCCAGGGGGTCTTCAGGTGACCTTCCCTAACATCAGATACCCCAGGTCTCTAAGGATTTACACGATGGCATCTACGGGAAGGATGGGGTCTGGAAGGGGTGGGGTTACTTGATTAGAAAGAAAGTATTATAGATGGGCTCAGAAATCGCGAAGGGAACAAATTGGGATGCGAAGAAAGAAACAGCTCCTTCTAATCACCAGAAAGGGATTCCTGGGGTGGGGGTGGAGTAAGAGAGCTATTATGTGAACAGGAGGGGTTGCTGTGATCCTAGTAAAGAAGTTCAGGAGAAGGAGAGAGATTATCCTATGAGATGAAAAAATTATTATATATAACGGTCTCTCTGAAAAGGAAGAGAGTTATTGTGAGAGGGTGGACCCGCCCCCGTCCCCCTCCCACGCCCTCAATTCTCTTGTCTTCTTTTTCCTCACCTGAGATCAGGGTGGGAGGGAGTAGGTTTAAGCTATAGCCCCGGCCCCCCAGCACCTGCCGGGTCTCAGCGCAACTCCCGGTGACCTTTGCCTCGCTCCCGGGTCCAGGGCCAGGACCGGGACACAGGGGAAGCAGCAGAAGCAGAAGAGATCGCAGCGCGGACATAGCTGCTGCCGCCCTGTGACTGTAAAGTGGGTCCTAAGGAAGAAAGAAGAGTCGCCCGAACTCGGGAAGTCAGTTCCCGGCCGTGGGGCTGCCCCACCAGCCAGAGAAAGAGCGCGACCTCCGAAAACCGAACACCCAGCCCGATAGCTGGACCAGGCGGCATCTGCCGAGACAATGGGAGCGGGGAGCCGAAGGGGGCGGGGCAGGAGGCGGGGCTCAGCCAATGGTGGTAAGGAACTGGTCTAAGGGGCGGGGTCAAAGCAGAAATTAAGCCAATGTTACGGAGAAACTCAGCAGGGGGCGGGACTCGGCAGAACTAAAGAGGTTGGGGGGGCGTGTTCTTTCTCGGGGGCGTGGCTATCCACTTCGAAAGGCGGGGCCTCAGTGGAACTCAGCCTATGGCAGTTGATAATCCAGATTGAAGGGGTTACTACTACTCTAGTGCGTAGATCCTCCAATGGAGAGGGCAATTGGGAGCAAAGGGGGCGGGGCCGGGGTGGAGCCGGGTTAAAGCCGGCAGCATCTTGCCCGAGTCCACGTGATTGGGCTGCGCACCGACGACCTCGTGGCAGCACGAGGCTGCCGGCGCGGCGTGACTAACGTGGCGAGCGCCTGCAACCACACGCCCAGGACCCGCGACAATTCCCTGCCCTGGACCGAGCCGTTGGGTTTGCGCCTGCGCACAACGTGCCTCGTGCCTTCCCGCTTTTTTCTGGATTCTTCCGCGGCGGGAAAGGAAAGCGGAGGGCGTCTGTGACGGAGGTAGGCTGATCCTAGAAGCCTGTGGGACGAGCGGCCGCCACTTTTCCTCAACCCTGCTCACCCAGAAGTCGCTCAGACAGTGAGGCACCTCTTTGACCTATAAAAACTCCGTCTCCTCACCCCTATTCCCGACCCTGAGGAAGGAGCCGCCCTCCTCTCCTCAGAGGCCGCTAACCCCACTCCCAGTGCCCAAGAGACGGCTCGCCTCCCCTCCCCCCACAGCGGTTAGACGTCTCCTCAGCGCAAAGAAACTTCCCCTAAGGTCCATCAGGGATAGCGCCTTATGGGAAGAAGAGAGAAAGCAAGTTTTTTCCCTTCAATTTTTTAAACTCCTTCAGCATTTAAACGGTCCCGTTCTCAAGGCCCCTCCATCCCCAACTCATGAAGAGCTTCCCACTGCATTCCGTGTGGAATCCGTTCTCAGCCTTGTCGAAACGGAAGTCTGGGCGCTTTTACGTTTTATGTCTGTAATGTGTGCGCTGTTTCCCCGCACCAGCCAGTGCACACCAGAAACCTCCGGAGACGCCCTGCTCCGTGCCTGGAGAGCGATTCCTACCCCTGGTCGGTGCGGCGAATGGGGTCTTTACTACCCCACGCCTTAGGTCAAGACTGGCTCATTTTTCGTGGGGTGTCCCCCTTCCAAAGCAGCTCCCTTGGAGAGAAAGAGGGTGGGGCAGATGGAGAAGTGGGGTGGCGCATGGAAGCCCTTTTCTCTCTTTCTCCCCAAGCTGGACGACCATGCCCACCCTGCGGTCCTCCTCCCGGCTGCATAGCTCCTCCTCGCCGAGCAGTGTGTCCTCGCCGCTGCAGCTGGGGGCGGCGGGCGGGCCGCGGCTCTTGTCTGCGTCTTCTGGTTCGTCTCTCGGTGTGCTCTGTGATGACAGGGACTCGGACCAGACTTTGGACGGGTGAGTGGGGTTGGCGAGAAATTAGGCAACTTTCTCCAGTCTGGGGGTGAAGATGAGAGAACGTAAGAGATGCTCTAGTGGTTTAGGACACTGACCCCCCCTCCAGCTTTGCCATGCGTGGTGGAGACATCCAGAATAACACATCCTGTTCTAAATCATCCAAGTTATCTAAATCTTTCTGGAACATCTTCATGTGCTCAGTGTGTATACCCTCTGGTGGGAGCTGGGAAGCAAGGGAAGAAGAGTTCTTCTTGATAGTTACCTGACAAATAGTACATGCACTTTTAGTTGGATTCCTGGCCTTCGCTTATTTGGGACTCAGATTCCTCTGTTCTTCTCTGTTGGGTTTATGAGTTCATTCTGTGAGGAAAAAAATAGTGTATCTTTTTTAATCTTTACAGATCACAGTGTCATACAAGATCTCATTTAACCCCCTAGTGATTTTGACTGCCCTTCTGAACTATTCCTGCTTTTGTCAGTGCTGCTGTTGGGAACCGTAGTTTATCTGTGTTAGACACTTAGCTCTCATAAGTGACGGGTGATTGTTTCATGGGGTGAAATTTAACTGCAGGTGCATGTTAATCTGTCTTTTTTTTTTTTTTTGAGCCACATGATTTTTTCTCCACAGCAGAGAGCCCTCTGCCAGCTTAAGTGAATATTACTTGATTCTTTCAGTCATAGAAAATATTAAGAAAGAGTTGACCTTCACCCACCTCAGTGCCTCATTTTTCTTCTCCATTGCTTCAATCAAGTGAAAGTTTTCCTTTGTTTCTATTTCCCTGGTAACAATAAGCTCATCTCAAAGAAAATGTAAATATATTTTTCTCACAGAGAGGGGCCACGGTTAGAGACAAAGAGAAATTATAATGCAACTGCCCTTTTACATAAAGGGACTAGGTATTGTATCTAAGAAGAACCATCTCCCTCACAGGGATAGTGAGTCTTTGTCAGCTGATGAAGGCAGTGACTTTGAAGATAGCTGGAGACGCAATGTGAAGAAGAGAGCAGCAAAACGACCGCTCAAGACAACCCCAGTGAGTCAGTTTTGTTTTGTTTTGTTTTTGAACCTGGTCTGGGAAATGGCAAAAAACAAAACAAAAACAACTCAACTCAAAGAAGCATAGGCAATGTTAAATGAAGGATAAAACTTAAAAAATGCGAAGGGATGAAAGAAGAAAGAGGGCAAATTTTGAAGAAAAAAGAATAGGAGGAGAGGATAGCTGGACATAGAGGAACAAGAATGGAGTTAAGGAATTTTTAATTGTAAAATAAATTGTAAAATAAAAAAATACAATTATTTCAGATTGGAGTCAGAAACACTGCTATGGTATTAGCAGTTTAAGTAAGCCTACTTGTGTGATAAAACCAAGTATTTACTTTGCTTTCACCTGTAAGAACCGTTTCAGATCTGTGCATCCTTACTAGGTGGCAAAACAACCAAAGAAGGGGTCCCGAGTGGCACGTGGTCATGGTCAGAAAGAGGCAGAGCCACCAGCCAGTGATCTCTTTGATGCTGTGAAAGCTGCCAAAAGCGACATGCAGGTAAATGAGAGTCTCACTTGTTTCTGGATACCACCTCACCCTTTGTAGGGGGGAAATATTAGGACAACTGTCTACAAATTTGATGTAATGTGGATATTTTATAATATACTGTAGTGAACATGATGTGTATCAGGAAAGATAGTAAGACCTTTGAGTGATACAAGGTGAGCTTGGATGAGAGAAAATGTTCCTAAAATTATCACAGAACAAGATCCATTTTGCCTTTGTTGATTAGTGGCGGAGGCAAGGAGACACACTGCATGATCTAGGGAGGAAACTTTGATATGGGTGGCAGCTTGTTCAGCCCTGTCACTTTTTTACTCCACTTTGACAATTATACCTACTTCTTCCCTCTCCCTACATTTCTTTTACTATAATTTTACAATTCTCATGCCATCTCTAAGTGTATAAGGTTTATATGGTAGTTTAAATTTTTTTAATGATCATTTAGATTTCTCTGAGCTCAAGAAATGAAATGTTAATAATGCTGTAGTGGCCCTTAATATATAATCTTCCTTTCACTCTACCCTTACAACCCCCTCACCACTCAGAGGTAACCACTAGACTGAACTATCTATTAATCATCCCATGTCTTTCATTGTAATTTTATCACCAATGAATGTGTCCTTAATTTCTATAAGTAAATGGTTCTTTATATAGTATTTTATAGTTTTTACAAGTGTTTTAAAAGTTTCAGCCATGTGGTATTTTTCTATTTGTATTTTTATTTATTTCTAATTTTATTGCATTGTAGTCAGACGATGTAGACTTTTGAAAACTATGGAGACCAGATTTATGACTTAGAATTTAGCATCAGTTACCAAAATATTTTACACATGCTAAAGAGGATATATGTTCTCCAGTTGTTAGGTACAGTTTTGCCTTGGGTGAGATCAAAAGTGTTAATAATACGTTAGTATTTCTACTAGTTTTATTGTTCTTTGTATTTTTGTCTGCAATCAATTACAGAGCGAAATGACTTTTTTCGATTACTGTTTTTGTATTAAAGCCCATCTTTACCTGAAATATTGTTTTGTTTCCTGGTAGCCTGTACTGTAGATGTACTAAATTTTACTGTTAAATACTCATGATGCTTTATGGTTTAAGACAAATTGTTTTATATTTAACATACCTACAATAGCTTCATTTTTGGTTAGAAATTGCCTAGTGTCTTTTTCTGTCCTTTTACTTTCAACCTTTCTGTGTATGTTGGGAGTCTGTCTTTTATATACAGTATTTCTGGATTATGTTCTTGAATTAGGTTGCCAATCTGTCATTTAACCACAGAGTTTGATTCTTCTTTATTGATTGTCACTGCTGATATATTTGAATGTTTCTACCATTTTATGCGCTTCACTTTACCTTACCTTTTCTGTTTCTTTTTCTCCTTTATTTTCTTACTTTTGCATCTCTAGTGTCTACAGTGGCCTACCCACATTTTAATTCCAGTTTACATGTACTTTGCATATTCAGTATTTTAGTCCTGTCCACTCCCCCTTCCCAACAACTTAGACATTACTGTTTTATAGTGTTTGTTTATACTTACCTACATATTTATCATTTTCTTTGTTCATCATTCCTTTGTCCTCAAATCACAAAACTTCCATACAGAATTTTTTCTTGCTGTCAAGTTTCTCCTTTAAATTTTTCTTTAGTGTTCATTAACATGCTCATCTTTTCTTTGTATAAAATTTTTTATCCTTGTTCTTAAAGATTGCTAGGTATAAAATTCTAAGATGACCTTTTTTAATGTGCTGAAAGAAAAGAGATTATTCCTTGCCTTCTATTGCTATTCTTTATTGCTGCTGAAAGTCACTTAGCTCATATTAGCTAGTACAACAATTTGTAGTGATGGAAATCGTCTGTATCACTATTGCCTAGAACATTATCTTCTAGCCATATGTGGCTATTGAAATACTGAAATTTGACTGGTATAAGTGAAGAGCAGAATTTTTATTTGATTTCTTTTTAATAGCTGCATGTGATAGTGGGCTAATGTATTAATGCAGAGATAAGTTGTAAATGTTTTCCTTTGTAACTTAAATGCAAATCCCTGTGAGTAATCTCCTTGTGCTATGACTGTTTTATCTGGTTTGCCTTTTTTGCTTTTATGTTCTGATATTGTATGGGATGTTTTTACCTGTAAAACTTCTTTTTATTTGTCATGCTTGTGATCTATTAACTTCCAGGCTTCAAAGACTGGTATCTTTCAACAACTACAGAAAATCCTTCTCAAATAATTGCCTCTTCCTCGTTCTTTACCTTCTGGAATTCCATTAG